GAGACACCACAAGGCCGCGCATTTCGTCTTCAACGGGCGACGGTGATATGTATTCCACGAAAGCCTCTACTTCGTTGTGAAGCCTGAATGGAACGTATGAGACGTGTAATAAGATATGGTTCTGACAACGCACATTTCAGCGACGTGATGGCACCCCTCCAAATTCAAGCCGGCAACCCACGGAGATTTTCGAGACAAGGCATCCGTCCGCTGTTTCTTGGTGGCGTAACCATCGTTGGGGTCATAGTCCAACTTGCGTTTAGAGCCGTGGCCGCGGTCCCTATCTCGGTCCTTATCGCCGCGGTCCTGATCTCTATCCCTTCCCCTGTCCCGACTTCTATCCCTCTTCTTATCCCGGTCTCGCTCCTTTGCTACATCGTGGTCCCTGTCTCTGTCGCGGTCGCGATCTCTATCCCTTCCCCTGTCCCGACTTCTGTCCCTCTTCTTATCCCGGTCTCGCTCCTTTACTACATCGTGGTCCTTGTCTCTGTCGCCGTCTCTTTCCCGCCTCCCACCCTTCCTGTCTCGTTCTTGGTCATCCTTCGGCGGCGTCTTATTGCGCGGAGGTGACGTATCGCGCTGTTTTCCTTTTCCTTTGTCAACCTTCGCGTCTCTGCGAGAAGCGTCTCGCCGCGATTGAGGCTGACCAGGCACTACCCGCACGACCTCCACGTCCGAATTGTCCCCAAAGTCAAACGCAATAAAGTCCTCTCCCTGTTCGAATCCAGCCGCTGAAAGCATGCTGGCCTCCGTGGGCTGCTTGCTATCGTCCTCAGTCCAAGAAGGCTTGGTGGGCAATTTCGATCCACCCGCCTGTGGTTTGGTACCGTTCGTTGGCTTCGCCGGCAACGACGACCCACTCGCCACAGGTTGAACAGCATCTTCCACACATGCGGGCCTCGTTGGTAATGTCGATCCTCCTGCCTCTGGTGGCGTAATGTCCGCCGCCTCCGTTGATCCTACAGACACTGTCGATCCGCTCGCCCCTTCGATTGAGGTCTGCTTTTGTCGCCTACGACGCGCGCGCCTACTTTCCGTTCCGTTTGGCGTACCCTCAGAGGAGCTGGTTGGTTTGGAAGATGAGCGCGGCATGTCCGCGACAGTTGTGCAAGGCAGCCAGAATAAACTTTTCTTCACGGTCGGTGTTTGTGTTTGGCACAAGGGGCGAGCGCAAACACTCAGGCGCATCTGATGCCATCACGTAGTCTTTTTCGACCGCCCATCGGTCAAAACGTTGGGATAGCTGTGAAGATAAGTAGCTCAATGACCCGTCCTCAAAGCTATTTATGTGTACAATGAAATAGATGAAATCGTCTGTTGGAATATAATGAAAGACCCCTCCCGGCTATCCTCTGAATGCCTTCACCAATATCAACACATCGATCTCATTTACTCCAACGCCAAAGGACAAGACCACGTCCTTGTCCTCGGGCCCGAAGGCCGAGATCTTGTACCCACCCTTAGTTTCCTCATCAATACCCTCACCCACCCATTTGGCGGTAGGGAGGTTGCTTTCGACTGCCTCAGACGCACCCTTGTCACCAGCGTACTTCTCAACTGTCACCACTGCAACGTCGGTCGGGAAGGCGGAGACATCGATCACGGGATGCCCAAGGCCCTTGATCGTTAGATAGTCGCCGAAACTCCCCATCGCTTTGCGATTCTCCTCGCTACCCGCGTATTGCAGGTGTTGGGCTACGCTCGTCCACCCGGAGATGAGGTATATGATCGATGCATCGGATGCATTGGTGAAGAGATAGACGGGATATGTGGAATGGGCCGCCTGGCGCGCACAGCCACCTTCCAAGAGATCTCGAACGGCTTCTGTTTCAAGCGTGTATGGTGATATCAATTGCAGACTTGTGTACTCGACGACGGGCATGGCGTTTTGGTGGTTTGGTGGTTTCTGTGGGACGATTTGGTTAGATTAGGTCACTAGATCGATTGGGCGCGCGCCTACCTGGATAAAACTGGATGAAATTTGTGTACCCTTGCTTGGCCGGGTCGCTTCCCTGACGGCCTGGCCTTATTAGTTCTGTATATCAAACACGAGTCGCATAATGCACAGCCGGTGACGAGTGAACACTACTAGTACCAATCCATCTAGAGACTAGAATGGTGTTTACTGAACATCACATTGAAATTCAATTCGCGCGACTTGTGGACTTGACTGCTCAGTCAGGTGATGACCTTGGAGCCCTCGAGTAGAACCAGATAACGGTCAGCTTTCAAGAAAGGGAAGGAACAGGGCCCCGCCAGAAATAGAAGGTCCTAGCTTGGAGGTGCCCTACAATGTCGTTGAGTCAGATAGTACATCATTACCTCGAGTTCGATGCTGCAAAGTTGCAGGCTTACGGGCGAGTATTTTCTTCAACTTGGAGGTGGATCCGGAAAGCATAGCACGAACACGCATACGCGTGTTTTGCAGGCATATCTCACGACACAGTGCTCTCTTAGGTTAGCTAGGACTTCACCAAGGAGCACTTTGACCGGGTTTTGGTGATAAAATTTTATTAAGCTCGCCCAGATAGTAATCTGACAGTCTAAACTGGAGAGATGTTGAGGCCTGGACAAATCTAATTGATTCCAAAGGTCAAATGGGTTGTGGCGTAAAAGTTCCCAAACGTGTACAAATTATGTTTTCCCCAGGTGATTTTTACCAAAGCTGGAGCCAGATATTGGGCAGAAAGTAATGGTCATAGCTGTGGAAAGAGAAACGTTAAGTAGCTTACCCATGTTTAGAGTCCGTGCAACAGCGCTGGCCTGAGTATAGTGCGCCCGCAGATCGTCAGTATCGTTGCGACAAGAGTCCAGAATGAATTCCAAACCACTCCACATGCGAACAGTTGAAAGAAAGCATCTGAGTTTTCAAGGAAAAAAACCAGTTCAGCTGAGCTTTCAACGTGGTTGTTCAAGCTGAACCAGCCGGTTGACTCGGCCCGGGCGTGAACGTTCCCGAAATGGACAGGTCACGTCCGTCTCGGTCACGGTCGATGCGTTTGCAACCAGTTCAACACAATGATTTCGGTATGTCAGTCAGCTTCAAGTGTACATTAATCTGATTGGCTCCAGGCATTTTTCATATTCAACCAGAAGGGAGAGGTGAGCCGAGCTTGACGCGAAGCCCGGTATGAAGAATGGGACTCATTCCAATTGTGTAGGTGTTGATCTCAAGGCTGTACCGGACTGACTTCAAGTGTGATCCAAGTGCTATAATCTTCTACACAAGTGCTCACGTACTTGGTGATTTCTAGACGGTCCATCGCCGACGTGTTCCGGATTCAAGTCGTCTCGAATAGCGATGTCAGGTCGCCCATCATTACGCTAGGATCGACGAGTTTCTTCCACGTACGAATCAACAATCTTTATGTCGTGGCCGTGACAAAGTAAGATTATCAGTACCATATATATTACCTGCTAATTTGAGGACAGGAACAACGCCAACGCCGCCCTCGTCTTCGAGTTCTGTTACCGCTTCATCAACATCGCGAAATCATACTTCGGGAAGATCGACGAGGAGTCTGTGAAGAATAACTTCGTTCTGATATATGAGCTCATTGACGGTACGTAGCTTGAGATCATTCCGCTCCCTCTTCTGTCGCTGAAACGCTCACCCATGCTAGAAATCAACGACTTTGGATATCCCCAGAATAGTGAAATTGATACCCTTAAATCCTACATCACTACGGAGAGCGTCGTCTCATCTGCCATTGCTGCTGTGCGTACACCATAATTCATGTGAGCTATCAGGCTAATTGGCGACTGCAGGAGGAGTCCTCGAAGATTACAACACAAGCAACGGGAGCAACGAGTTGGCGACGCAGTGATGTGAAGTATAAGAAGAATGAGGCATTTGTGGATGTCGTGGAGACCGTGAATCTCAGCATGAGCGCGAAAGGTACGTTTATCTCATTCTATGGACCCAGCTTCTGTCTGACCTAGCTAGGTACCGTGCTGCGGGCGGATGTCGATGGCCATATCCAAATGCGCGCATATCTGTCTGGCACGCCGGAGTGCAAGTTTGGTCTCAATGACAAGCTTGTAATCGACAAGACCGGCGAACGGGGGATTGGTGATGCGGTAGAGCTGGACGACTGCAGATTCCATCAATGCGTGCGGTTGAACGACTTCGATGCAACCAGAACAATCAGCTTCATTCCACCAGACGGCGAATTCGAGCTGATGAGGTGAGTGATTCAACGCTAAAGCGCTGCATAATAAGTCCTAACGCACCCCAGATACCGTTCAACGTCCAATGTCAAACTGCCGCTCCGCGTTATACCCACCGTGAACGAGATTGGAACCTCCCAGGTGCAATATACCGTCACTGTGAAAGCGAACTTCAACAACAAGCTCTCTGCCACCAACGTCGTCCTGCGGATACCCACCCCACTGAACACCACCACCGTGGACTGCAAAGTCGCGACCGGAAAGGCAAAATATGTGCCTGCTGAAAACGTTGTCGTCTGGAAGTAAGCATCTGCGTCCACACGTCCCTTGTTGCATCTGACTCAAGTACTGTAGAATTCCGCGAATCCAGGGTGGCTCGGAATGTACCTTTTCCGGGACGGCCAACCTGACCAGCACGACCACGCGCCAGGTCTGGGCTCGACCACCCATCGACGTTGATTTCCAGGTTCTAATGTTCACCTCGTCGGGCCTGATTGTGCGCTTCCTCAAGGTTTTCGAAAAAAGCAACTATCAGAGCGTCAAGTGGGTCCGGTACCTCACAAAGGCGAGCGGCTCATACCAGATAAGGGTGAGTGCCCTCCTTCAACAGCAGGTTTTTCTCCTGGCTCAGAGTCATTACCATTTCTGTTGCCCAGTTTTGAGTGTTGTTTCTTTCTCTTTCATATCTATTGTAAACTTAGATGTCCATCTATATAATCTTGCATTCCTGTACTTATGGACATGGACATGGTCAATGCCAAACATGCAACTCGATTTTCGAAATGATGGTGTATTAAAAAGCTTGCACCTTAATTGCACGACCACCTTCACGACGCCAGCAGGATTTGAACCTGCGCCCTCAAAGAGGAACAGATAGTAAGTCAGCAACATTCTAATCTGTCGCCGTAACCACTTGGCTATAGCGCCTGCGACTGGATTGCCAAGCATTAGTCATCAGGACTACTACTTACTTAAGTTACTGTAACCGACGGTCGCTTGCGCCACTCTGCTTCGCATACGTGATTACAATTCAATCACCAGGAGAACGCAGAGAAAAGACTGACATGCATTGGAAGGGATAAACTACTTACGTTTTTCTTCAAGTTGACCCTTGCAGAGGTTCCATCGCCAGTACTTAGTATCTGCAGCATGTGCATGAAGCTGCATCTCTTGGGTCGTCTGGCGACGATTGAACCGGCACATGTCCGCATATATGTAGACGAATGAATAACTCCACAGTATGCTTAATTATTTTTCATGCTTTGAGCCTCAGGCTCCGGGGCCGTGCACGGGGACACCGTGACGGATGCCGGTGGTTCTTGGATTCGTTTTCGATTTCCCTACCGCCTTGTGAGTGCTTTATTTAGAAATATTCGTGCCATGCCTCACCATATCTCGTCTGTATTGCAAAAGTAGCGCGGACTGACCGCTGGACGAGAAGAGCAAAACGAGGTCGATGAAGTCGACGAACAGCCACAAAATTATTTACATCTATTTGGGTCAAAGCCAAATTTGCCACCGCGCAAGAAATCCTCGAACCACGTCGTTCGTCGCTTCCTCCCATTCCCTTTCCTTTCCTCTCCGGCTGCTCTTCCCTCGTTATATCCCTTCCATAATTCACCAGGACTAAAGACACAATGGCCGAAGAAATCCGCGCGGAGTCCTATGTTGGTTTCGACAGCATTACCCAGCAGATCGAGCACAAGCTTTTGAAGCGCGGTTTCCAGTTCAATGTTATCGTTGTTGGTGCGTAGACGCTCCGTTATTGCATGTTTGTATGGGTAGTTTTGAGCTGAACTCTGGTGTTCAACAGGTCAAACTGGTCTTGGAAAGTCGACGCTGATCAACACCATTTTCGCGTCGCACCTCATCGACTCCAAGGGCCGTTTCGCGTCGGACGAGCCTGTCAGGCAGACTACTGAGATCCAAGCCGTCTCACATGGTATGTCTCTGTTGTATTTTGCCTATCTTGTGTTTTGCCCCCTGTACACACATTCGCACCTTCAACCTCACCTGCCGCCCCCTTGCTTCGTTTTACGTGTAAACGTACCCCAAAAGTATTTGAGTTTGCATTGATCTGATGTTGTATTCTTTTTGACAGTCATCGTTGAGAATGGCGTCAAGTTGCGTCTGAACATCGTCGACACGCCTGGGTACGGCGACCAGGTTAACAACGAGAACCTGTTAGTATCTCGTCCCAAATATTAATATTCTACATCCTAATTGCACCTCTTTCTTCTTTACATAACTTTTCTCACGTAACAGCTGGGACCCCATTGTCAAGTACATCAAAGACCAGCACAGCGCGTACCTCCGCAAGGAGCTCACTGCGATGCGTGACCGCTACATCCAGGACACACGTATCCACTGCTGCTTGTACTTCATCAACCCCACGGGCCATGCTCTCCGCCCCATTGACGTCATCGTCATGAAGAAGCTCAGCGAGGTCGTCAATGTCGTTCCTGTCATTGCCAAGTCGGACAGCTTGACCCCCGAGGAAAGGGACAGGTTCAAGGCAAAGATTAGGGAGGAGCTGCACTACGAGAACATCCGTTTGTACCCGTTCGACACGGATGAGGATGATGAGGAGGAGGTCCAGCTCAATGCTGCTATCAGAGTGCGTGTCTTCAGCTTTCCATACAGGTTGTCCGAAATTGACACTCTGTCGGGCAGAACATCACTCCCTTCGCCGTCGTCGGCTCAGAGAACAACGTGATCATCGATGGCAAGTCTGTCCGTGGTCGCAGGAACCGATGGGGTGTCGTGAACGTTGAGGACCCGAACCACTGCGAGTTCATGAACCTACGTAACTTCCTTACCCGGTGCGTCCACTAGGATATCCATCACATTGGTGCTGACATGGCCCATTGACTCTTCTAGGACCCATCTGCAGGACCTCATCGAGACGACAGCACAAATCCACTACGAGGCATTCCGTTCGAAGCAGCTGCTCGCGCTCAAAGAGGGTGTCAACCAGCGCCCTCAGCACCAGTAGATGCCAGCTTGTGCTTTGCGTTTCTTGTATCGGTCGGACCGCGAACCCGATCGGCGGGCAAAAATGGATACCCTTCGTCTGCGAACACTCACTCTCCTTGCATCGGAATACCGTTACCTATACTCTCCCCCTTCTCTGCTTCTGTTGTTTTTTTGTCTTGTCCCACTGCCTCTTGATATACTACATACCCGGGGCCACGCTCGTTGAAATTGCGCCGTTCTTCTGCGTCACTGCCATGCGTAACGCGTTTTAAGCATTCGAATTTCGGCGATCGCTGAATTTGAAGGAGGTGGTGACCCAAATCTGCTTACGCTGCAGTGATCTTGCGTATCCGTGAAGTAAATCCACATAGTTGCCGAGTTACTCTGACAGTCACTGGTGACATGGGACTAGAGGCCATAGATGCTGAGAGCAGTACCCCGTTTGCTCTAAGTTCTTTTGGGATTTTGGAATGGAGGAGGGGAAAGTTCCCAAATGGTAGTCATCATTCTTGTGTCACACCTGATTGTGTGTCAGCGAGGCTGAGGCACGGAGGAATTAGAGTGCACTTTGTCCGCCGCACAGTCATGAGCATCGCCCTCCACCGGTTGCTACGACTATAAACCTATCTTGAAGTCTCCTGTCTAGAGCTCACGGCCTGTTTATTTACGACCCACCATGACTCGGTTCACTGCTTGGTACGACAAGCTCGCGGCGTTCAATGTCGAGGACTTGTTTGTGCGCAAGAAGGAGCCTGGACCTCGGCGGACTATCTTTGTCAACGAAAATCTGCCTAGGGACTATCACGACAAGAAGGGACGAGTCAAGCCAGAGCATATCTATGCCACGAACCAGGTCCTGACGTCGAAATATACTATAATTACGTTTCTGCCGCGAAACTTGCTGGAGCAGTTCAGGCGTGTGGCGAACATGTGTGTTTCAAGCCTTTTTCAATGTGGGATCGGCTTAACAGTGTTGCAGCTTCTTCCTAGGCATAGCCATTCTCCAGTTCTTCCCGAAATTCTCGACAATTTCGCCCGGGCTGGTCATCCTACCGCTACTTATCGTCCTTGGAATTACTGCTATCAAGGATGCGTATGAAGATATTAAGCGCCATCAGTCGGACCGTAGTGTCAACCACACACCGCTACGGGTCCTCGCAGGTGGCGACTGGGTGAACCCGAACGTCATGGCCAAGAAAAGTCGCACTTTTGTCCGCGGTATCATTCCCCAGAGCATGCGAAGAACGAAAGGAGCTCATGTCCAGGGAGAGGCCGCACATGCCCCCGAGAATCAGCCCGAGTACGACGATGAAGAGGAGGTGGATCAGCAGCACGGGATCAGTCTCTTCGGATACCACGGCGACCAACGCCCGCACTGGCACAAGGCAATCTGGGAGGACGTGCGCGTGGGTGACTTTGTCAAGATCAGGGACCACGAGTCGCTACCCGCCGATATCCTCATTTGTGCGACCAGTGAGGACGAGAATGTCGCGTACGTGGAAACGAAGAATTTGGACGGTGAGACAAACCTCAAGAGCCGCAACGCGTGTCCTGCGCTCACTCACTTGCGTACCGCGCGTGACTGCGCCGACGTTCGCAACCGCTTCCGCGTCGAAGGCGACCGACCTGATGTTAGCATGTTCAAACTCAACGCAGCGTTGGTGTTTGACTCGGCGGACGCAAAGGAGCGCGAGGCGGGCATAGGTGGAGAGACGCACCCCATCGACATGCAGATGACGCTGCTGCGCGGAACGGTGTTGAGGAACACTTCGTGGATCATCGGCATCGTCATGTACACCGGCGACGACACCCGCATCGTCATGAACTCTGGCGGAACCCCCAGCAAGCGCAGCAAGGTAGAGAGGCAAATGAACCCCCAAGTGTACGTGCTGGGTTTGCTTATTATAATCTTGGCTGACTTGTACTTGCAGGTTCATCAACTTGATCATTCTGGCTCTAATGGCGGTTACATGTGCCATCGTCGACTCTGTATTGGAACACCGATACTACCCAATGGAAGCTCCTTGGTTATACAACGATAACCAGTCCAACGACAATCCCTCGATTAATGGCCTTGTAACATGGGCCTTTGCTCTCATTACGTGAGTCAAATGACATTGTTTTCGTTGTGATACGAACTTAACGCCTCGACAGCTTCCAAAACATCGTGCCGATCTCGTTATACATTTCTATTGAGTTTGTGCGCACGTGTCAGGCGGCGTTCATCTATTTCGACTCGGAGATCTGCTACGACAAGACTGGACAAGCCACTGTTGCGCGCTCATGGAACTTATCGGACGACCTTGGCCAGATCGAATACATATTCTCAGACAAGACCGGGACCCTTACCCAGGTGCATTTTCCGTCAATCATTTACAGCACATGCTAAATAGTTTACAGAACTCGATGATATTCCGCGAATGCTCCATCGCCGGAAAAGTGTACCATGGAGATCCCGAATCGGTTCGCGAGAAACTGCCAGAGGTACAGTCCATCACACCCCCACTGAAAGGTACGAACTCCGCCTCCCTCCCGTCGTCCTCTGGCGAATCCTCTACGGCTGCAGGCTCCAGTGACGACCAGAAGGAGGACACCGGAGTCCCCGATACGAGCGCCACCAAGCCCCAGGAGGTCCACCACTTTTCCGACGCCACCCTTATGGCAGATCTCCAGGCGTCCGCCAACGCAGACCCCAACTCCCCGGAGGATGCGGCACACGCGCGGTCCCTCAATGGCTTTTTCTCAGTGCTCGCGTTGTGTCACACTGTGCTCACTGGCGTTGACCCTCACACTGGCGCGATTGAGTACAAGGCACAAAGTCCAGACGAGGCAGCGTTGGTACAGGCGGCAGCGGACGTCGGGTTTGTGTTCCGCGGACGCGACGTGGATGTGTTGATGCTCCAGACACCGTTCAGCGAGGAGCTTGAGCGATACCAATTGTTGAATATCCTCGAGTTCACGAGCTCAAGGAAGAGGATGAGTGTGGTGCTGAGGAAGTTGGACGATCAAGATGGGCGGATCTTCTTGTTGTGCAAGGGTGCGGACAACGTTATCTTTGAGAGGTTGAGGGAGGGAGCGGATGATCTTAAGGCTAAGACGGAAAGGCACTTGGGAGAGTTCGCGAGTCAGGGCCTGAGAACGCTCACTTTGGCGTATAAGGTCATCCAAAGTGCGTGTCGCTTCCTTCCTTCCTAGGTATATGCTAATGTGACTGATTCACAGAGGACGAATATGAGGCTTGGAGCGAACGGTACCATACAGCGAGTATCGCGATGGTTGAGCGGGACGAAAAAATCGAAGCCGTCTCCGATGAGCTTGAGCAAGATCTGAGACTTTTGGGTGCAACCGCTATTGAGGACCGCCTGCAAGACGGCGTTCCCGAGGCCATCGCCGACCTCAAGCGCGCCGGGATCAAGATCTGGGTGGCCACTGGTGACAAGCTGGAAACCGCTATTGGTGCATCAACACACTCCTTTTCATTTTTTCCTGAGACTGACTTGCCCCGCCAGCCATCGGTCACAGCACGAACCTCATCGGACGCGAGTCCAACATTATCGTCATCCGAGGTGGCAACGTCAGCGGTCGCCCGGTATACCAGCAGATGGTTCAAGCTGCTGAAGAATTCTTCTCCGATGAGGACCTGGTCAGCACACACCCACATCCACATCACCACGCGCAAGATCCCAGCATACCGGGCACCGATGATAGGCAGTACCCTTTGCGACGCATCGAGACAGGACTTTCCTCGATAGTTGGGTCCAATAATGGCGATCGTCCAGGCGGCTTCGTGCTCGTCATCGATGGGGCGGCGCTCACGCACGCTCTTGCTGATGAACAGAGCAAGACGCTGTTGCTGCGGCTCGGGACGCAGTGCGAGGGTGTCATCTGCTGTCGTGTTTCGCCTCTGCAGAAGGCGCTCATCGTGAAGCTCGTCAAGGATGGTCTCGGCGCGATGACACTGGCGATTGGGGACGGGGCCAACGACGTTAGCATGATTCAGGTGCGTTTTGATTGAATTCACCCGAGTCCAGTTTTAGCTGATATCCTGCCTCGGACAGGCTGCGGATGTGGGTGTCGGAATTTCGGGCGAGGAAGGCTTGCAAGCTGTAAACTCGTCGGACTACGCCATAGCGCAGTTCCGCTTCCTCAAACGATTATTGTTGGTGCATGGACACTGGTCGTACGCTCGGAATGGAAACATGTACGCCAGTGTATTTTTCTCACTCATGAAAATAGTTCTTAACGACATCACCAGGATCTTGAACTTCTTCTACAAGAACATCGTTTGCATAGGTGTTCTTTGGTGGTTCCAGATCTATTGCGGGTGGAGTTCCAATTAGTGAGTGACTGTTAATCCATGGTGAAAGACTTTCCTCACTCATCACACCCTCTTACACAGCGTCTTCGAATACACGTACCTCCTTTTCTGGAACTCTTTCTGGACAATCGCACCTGTCATTGCGATCGGCTTGTTCGACCGCATTGTTGGTACGTGAATTCTATCTTTGTTCCTGGTGTCAAGTGTGAGGCTAAATCACTCACAGACGCACATGTCTTGATGGATCTCCCGGAGCTCTACCGTTATGGACGCGAGGGCAGGTGGTTTGGAATGAAGTGGTTCAGCATTTACATGTTCGACGGTGTCGTGCAGGTATGTCCACTTCTCAGACAGCAGAGATAATATTGACCATCCTCCAGTCTGCAATCATATTCTTCCTCATTCTTTACACGTACCTCACGGTTTCTTCTCGTACGGATGGATGGCAGGTTTCGCTGTACGAATTCTCTACGGTGAGTGTTTATCGCCATTTCGATCATCGGGTACTGATTTGCATTCACAAAGGTCATGGTCTTTTCTGCCGTCATTGTTGCCAACTTGTTCAATGGCCTCAATACGAACGTCTGGACTGGATGGGTTTTCTTCGCGGTCTTCATCGGTATTGCTCTTCTCTTGGTTTACACTGTGAGTGAATAGCTAGCATCCGCCCGCCCCACGTATTCACGTCCATCTCTAGGCCGTGTACGCTGCCATCTCACCAGGTTGGTTCGTCACTCCGATGTGGGGTATGAATCACTTCCTTTGGCCTTCGGCGTACTTCTGGCTCTGCCTGCCCCTCACCATTTGTCTCTCCTTGGCGCCACGCTACCTTGCGAAAGCCTGGAAGTTCGGCTTTGCCCCAGACGACATCGACATCATGCGCTACATTCGGAAGATGGAGCCAGATCGCGACATCTCGAAGGAGGCTTTGACCATGGGAACGAGAACGTCGATGCAACCTCTAGTTCGCGCGTCGTCGTCACGAAGGACATCCCGTGCAAGTCTTGCATCGGCCGTCGCTGCGCAGCCTTCGGTCGATCCGAGATCCGGGAGCAGAACGGACATGTCAACTGGAGTGCGATCAATCCACCGCGGATTCGACTTCTCGACAGAAGAAGGTGGTGTAGCGATGCAGCGCATGCAGACGAACCTTTCGGAACGGCGACAGAGCAGTCGGAATCTTGCAACGACCACAGAAACCGAGGACAATACCCGCAGGAACGGTAGGAGGGTTGGCAGCCTCGGCCACGTATTCTCTGTGCGGCGCGGGTTCCTGCGGAAAAAGCCTACATCATCAGAAGGACAGTGAGGTGATTGCCAATTTGCTTCTTTTTCCTCTCCTTCGTTCTCTTTCCTGCATCTGGGTGCCTATTACTTTCTACATTCCATTCTCTTAATTTTAGACACCATCCCACTGAGCGGCACTTATCTACCTTTGCATATTTTCATTTTTTCCCCACGTGTACTTCTCACAAATTGTATTAACCAGCATACCTCGCACCCCTTCTCACGAATCCTTGATGCATTAATCTATCCAACACGCCTCGATACAATGAAATGAATGCTTTAGATTGCCTTTACTTGCTAAGTAACTTAATATACAGTAGACTCGCTGTTCGTGCGACAAATGAGGTATCGTTTTAAGGAACTACTTGGTATAAAGTGAGTGAGCCGAAGCCAATATATGGGTCGTGTGCGCTATATGTAAAAGGGGAAAAAACTTCAAAAAACTGCGAGCGCGGTTCAATCAGGTAAAATCAAATTCGCTGTGATGACAAATGTGCTCAAATTTGTCGACTTTACGCCACACACCGTATCCGCGCTTCGAAGCCCTGATGGCCTGATACTCCGGAGACATTGACATCCCTCGAGTTTCGGCGAACAGCCTTCATCATACCCATGGACGACGGAAGGCTCCTAGGCATCAGAGGGCTTGCAGACGAGGGTGACAGTTACACTATACCTCAAGGCGCTATAGCCAAGTGGTTACGGCGACAGATTCGAATGTTCTCTATCTGTTCCTCTTTGAGGGCGCAGGTTCAAATCCTGCTGGCGTCGGGTTGGGAAGAAACCTGGATTATATTTTGAATAGGCCAGTATGCATGGTTACATGTAAAGCTTCTTGTTTCTCAATGAAGTCAATGTCCAAGGCGCTATAGCCAAGTGGTTACGGCGACAGATTAGAAATCTGTTCCTCTTTGAGGGCGCAGGTTCAAATCCTGCTGGCGTCGTTGGGATCGGGCTGTGTTTTTGGTCTTCGCATCGGGAGGTACTACAGAAGGTTCCATCGAAACCACACAACTAGTACTACGAACTGCTAGGAACTGTCTACATGTCAATGATTTGCGGGAAATTGCTCGAAACCTTCCTTGCGCCACCTGCTTCCCGCCATTTGCAAATGTTTTGTGCCCACTTAAATTCGTCTACGCGACTTGGAGGTGACTGGCAATCCATGATCATTTTTTACCGAGTAAAACTTGCTTAAAATTCTTGAAGTTACAGATTCTATTTGATGGTAGACTTTCACTGGGCCGCCCGAATGATCATCCTTTCAAGATTCTTTGTCACGACATGACAGCGTTCCTTGGGCCATTGACAGTGCCCCACAAGGGTACGCAGCGCGAGATAAACGGCAGAAAGTATGACGGTCGATCCTTCGGCGCCCATAGTTACAACCGTAGAACAACTGTGGGTACAGGATTGCAGGATTTACGCACGAGGACGACTCAGACTATCATCGCGATGCTGACGGCCGATACGCAGAAGGTACAATTCCAGAGGCCTCAGCGTCGCTCATTCCCCTTCCTCGAACCGACACTGACGAGGTATTCATTGATGTTGTAAATCTCTTTTCTATTCATCTCTGGAAGCTGGGTCAGGAGCGAAACAGCTCCAACAAGCAACGCTTGCTCGTCTCCAACCAAATACGCAGCGCCCGGAGACACCCTGCGTTGCAGGGCAGCTGTACCTTGGGATCCAGTTGCCACTGTCCTCGCTCGGGGCTGAGCCGTCTTCGGACTCTGAGAAGTTCCGCATTGGCCCGTCTGCACGTCTGTCGAAGTGATGCGCATCCGCTTGCTCGATGGGGCGCCCAGTACCACGGTTGGCTAGTGCTTTGAAGGCTGTACGCCATCGCGAGTAATCTGACTCCTCTCTGTATTCCACTGCCCGCGCGTAGTCGAGGAACTCGCCGAACAATGGTGAGATGCCGACAGCCAGCTCTGCGCCCGTCCACGCCTCCTTTTCCAGCTGTATGAGGCCTCCATCATGCAGTTTTTCCCAGGGTAGCGTGCCCTGTACAACCAGTAAAGCGTAGGCGAGAGACTCCATGTCGTCCCTGCGCGCCGGGCCTGAAATAACATAAGAACCCACTTTGGCGACGATGCACATTGAGGCTTGCGTATAGGGAGGTTCCCATAAACTTGAAGCTTGTCTCCAGAGGCCGCTGCACGGGGGTAGCGGGATCGCGGTAATAAGATGCAAAGCCAAAGTCGATGAGGTAGACTCGGTCAGAATCGTTTCCGCTACCAAAAAGGATATTTTTAGGCTTGATGTCAAGAGTGGATAACGCTCCGCTTGTGTGTGTGCGATAGTACGTCGAGCTGAATAAATTGAGTTGCCTGGTCACAGTAGTGGAATGAGCTGGAATGAGAGTAAATGTCACAATTTGTTCTGCGTCATGAGCAGCACTTGGTATGTCGAGGCGTTTGCCCTTTCTGACCAATTCTGCGAGGGATGGGCCAAGAAGCTGCATGGTTAGATATTCGTAGTACTGCGAGCGACCCCAGGCATCGACGAGTGGAATGGATGGGTGCCCTTTAAGAATCACCATGGCGCAAGCTTCGTGCTGCAGCATCGGATGGACGACATGTTGTGTGACGTGCTGCTTCTTGAGGGCTACGGCGGCGCCTTCCGGTGAATTTCGCGCAACACAGACTGTAGCCAAGTAGATCAAATAAAAGTCAATGCTCGGGACGAAAACAAAAATCCGAAGGCTTACCGAAACCACCAACGGCGATGAATTTTCTGTCCAATACATTGCCGCCGCCTTGCGGGACCGTGGAGGAGCTCGTCAACGTAGATAGGAGAGCATGTTACATCGCGGCGCCGCCGCATAATGATTCAAAGCAATCAAGTTACCCCCTTTAGACCAACGCGTTGTTGTTGTTTCTTTATCTACGTTTGAATAATCCGGCTCACACCAGCTCACGCCAGTGAATCAGAGCACTCAGTCGACCGACCATGAATTCCCCTCCCGATCCTGGTTCTCCAATATCCACAGACACCGATTCTGGACCAGAGGAGGTCTTCCAGACGCAGGGGCCGTCTGGGGCCCCCCATTTCATCACTACGGTTGCCCGAGATATCACACAATCCTTCATCAGCGGAGGCTCCAAGCGTCGTCTCCCAGGAAGTTCAAACTTCGGTGCATCATCATCTAGCCGCGATCCGAAGTCGAGGCGGCGTTTGGATGTCGGAAAATCTGGAGGTGGCGCTGGAGGTGCTAGTTTGTGGGAGGGCCAGAAGGAGAGCAAACGCGAGGACAAGGACGTTGTCGATCAGCATCTCGTAGAGTTTTTGAGACGAGGTGAGTTCCTGCCAGGACTGAATCAAGCGACGTGGATTCAAATCTTCTTCCTTCTCTCAGAGATCGGGGATCCTTTCGATGACTCTGCTATCCAGAAACACGCTTAGCATCTCGTCTGGTAACCAACAGGCCATTCCCGTTCAGCGTTATTTACTAATTGATAGCATCCAGGCCATCGAAATCGCAGTCTGTATCACACCATAGCCTTTGACATATTGTGTAAAATAATACCCTGTAAGAATAAACAACGTCGCTCCGCCTCCTCAACCCGAGGCCTGTATATGGGTCGTACTGTGTTTCCTTGAACTTTTAACTGTTGGGCAACGACATAGATCCGCCGCATCCCGAATGTTTGAAAGAGGCAGGGTTCCATTGAATGGTGTACTCTAGGGAATGATACATATTAAATGTTCTCCTTACATCCAGAACGCAAAACAAGTGATACAACAAAGGTCCAATGTCATGAGCTGCAAACGTGAAAATGAAAAGTAGGTGACGAAAGTCTACTCGCCCTTCTTCGATGACTTTTTTCGCAATCCCCGCCTTAGCGAGAACATATGTGAGAGCGTCTCCTTGCCCTTCCGTGACGAAGGTCTTAGGCCTATTGACTCCAGATTCCGATTGCTCTGCCTCCGTTCCGAAAGATTACTCTGCATGCGCTTCATCGCCACCCCGTTCTCCTCTGTCGCGAAATCGAACCCGCGGTCAATTGACACAAGCCCCGTCGCCATGTCCGTCCGGCTAGCTGCACGGACATCGACCGGGGGAAGGCGCAAGTCGAGGGAGGGCCGGAGTTCAAGCGACGCGGAGCTATCGTTGATCCGAGATGCGCGGCGGGAGGAGACGCGTGAGGAGAGGGAGGCGGGGCGGCGCAGAGCTTTGAGGTGGGAGATGTGCGCGTCTTCCGAGAGGTCGCGGCAGGGATCATATTTGCTGATCCAGCGCATGGTGTCGAGATCGTCTGGTGCGTAGCCAAAGTTCCATGCTCGCGCGATGAAGCGGGGTACCAGGGAAAGGAAGAATGTGAGGGGTATTGAGAGCCAGAAGTATGCTGATGTGAATAGGAAGTAGTAGTTGCCGTAGAGACTTGTGACGGCGTATCCGGGTGTAATTAGGGAATAGACAATCTGGTGGCCGGGGGTTAGGTATGATGGTCGTTGGGAAGCGAGAGCTAGACTTACCGTGAACAACCATACAATGACGATGCCGATAAATACAGCAAAGAATACCCATGCATTCCAGGCGGTAGCACTGAATCCTGTGAAAATGTTGGCCACCATGACGGCAACTATTGCCATTGTCTGAAGTCATAAAATTAGCCGGGACCAACTCGACGTTATATATTATTGCCTACCGTGGAGAACTCAGCACCGTTGAGATCATATCCATCCGTCCGAGTCGTAGGCGATGCTTTGTAGGCATAAAGAATAAGGAAATAGATGATAACCGACTGAGTCATCCTTGTCAATTTATTACTGTCGAAAAAGCAGAATACGAAGACTTACTTGATAAAGGCCATCGAATAGATAAACGAAGAAAGACCTAAGGCCGAACCATGAAAAAGCAGAATACGAAGACTTACTTGATAAAGGCCATCGAATAGATAAACGAAGAAAGACCTAAGGCCGAACCATGTACCTCGGCGACCGTAGTGATATAGCTCGGGCACCTGCATCAAAATGTGGGAATCTACCCCAGTGCGTGAGTACGACGGAGAGTGAGGAAACGGTTAGAAGCTTACCCAGGAAGCGGTCGAACAAGCCAATACCGATAACAGGCGCGATTGTCCAAATTGAATTCCAGAAGAGAATGTAAATATAATCGAACACACTGCACAAATTCAATATCGACGTTCACGGTGTGGGGTCAAAGGTGGACTTACAAGTTTGCACTCCATCCGGAGTAAATCTGGAACCACCACAGGACGCCAACAGGAACGACATTCTTGTAGAAGAAGTTCAAGATCATGGTTCCATTCCGAGCATACGACCAATGTCCGTGAACGAGGATGAGCTTCTTCAAGAACCGGAACTGCACATGTTGTCAGCGCCAGTCCACAAGGCATTCAGAGTCCAAAACGTACCTGAGCGATGGCGTAATCTGAAGAATTGACAGCCTGTAATCCCTCCTCGCCCGAGATTCCAACACCGACGTCTGCAGCCTATGCATCATATAATCAGTATCAACGTTCAGAGGTACTACCTGGATCACATACCTGAATCATGCTGACATCGTTCGCACCGTCACCAATGGCCAATGTCATCACACCGAGGCCATCCTTTACCAGACGTACAATGAGGGCCTTCTGGAGCGGAGACACTCGGCAGCAGATGACACCCTCGCACATAGTGGCCAGACGCAAGAGAAGGCTCTTGTTCTCTTCATCTTCAAAGGCCTGAAATTATATGAGTTGAGATGCCAATCAAAGACTAGAGTGCAAGGAACATACGTGAAGCAGTGCGGCGCCATC